GTCATTAAAATGTACCCATTGAATTGAAATCACAGATTGAGGGGAGGGAAGTGGAAGGTTCTCCGGGGTTTACAGGTCTATTTCCATCAAGGCTAATTTTGGCATCTCCAGTTCTGAGCAAATACATGTACATGTATTTCAAGGTTTCCTTGAACTTTGATAGATGTCTATGTAACAGAATTGCCCAGGAATGTGCAGGCCTACCTGCTCAACAACAAAATCTGGCCACTTCAATATCATATTGCTGAACATTTCTCGTATTAAATTACATAATGACTAGAGCCAATGAAATCATTGTTACTGCATTGGCTGATGTGACATGTAATATATCAAATACAAATGTCTGTCTTTGACCACATTCCCAAACACTGAGAACAGAATCTAACGTGTAGCAGACTACTACTACTAATTCCTAGCTCTCCTCTGGGAGAATAGGGCCATAAGCAGACTATTTAAGATAAAACGACTATTTAAGAGGTGTTCAATATGTGGTCAAACACTGTCTTGAGTGTTTGATATATTGTCTTAATCAAAACTAAAACTAAGGAGAAAAACGCAATAAAATCATAAAAATCTGTGCTAATTGAGGTCAAATATCCAAACACTGTTGCAGTCATGATTTCTTTTGTTTAACCTTGATGCATTATTCACGAGTCTGAGAAATGGCAGGGAACAATTTTGTTAAAAGTACATCAGTAGATCTGTGGCAAATAATGCAATGTGTTCAAAGGTGAACTGCTGTAGATATACTATACACAGTGTGTGTACTGAAGCTAACTTACACCCAGGTCCACTGAACGACACCACTTTGCAACTCTCTCATTAGTCCAGACAATAGGATCCAAGTCATTATCTTCACTTTGCCTTCGACGATCCACTAACAACTACATAAGGAGAAGAGAATTATTATATATTAAGTTTGACAATCGTCCAGTTTTGAGTTAACTAAGCTACTTAATAAAAACTAAAGATGTATATGCACAGGGTTAGTCTTGATGTTCACAACCACCAGTGATAGCATGAAGTATTGACAACTCTGTGAATTGCTTCATCATTACTTTTCTGTGGGTATTTTATGAATGATTTTCGTCAGATCCTTAACTAACACTGTACAGATGAGGCTTTACTCAGTGGTCTTGGTTAACTTGAAACTGGACTTTTATATAGCCAGGCTACAAATACAATGTACATGTGCATGTACATGTAAACAGCTGGTAAAAGTGCAGTTTTCCAAAACAGCCATCATAAAAAAAACAAACAAACACTTGCCTTTATGTTAATAAAATGCAACTGGCTATGGTTTTTAAACTACCATTTATACAATTAGTGAGGTGGCTTAGGATGATTTCAAGGCATGAAGTCTTCAATATGGAAGAAAGCGTGAAGTTTGGCAAAAAGAATCTTGTTGGTGTAAGAAACAAATTTAGCCTGGGTATCACCTGTGCCAATGATCCGGGGGGAGAAGGCAGAGATTTCAATTCTTGCCAATATCATTGGCATGAAAACAAGGCTGTTGAATAAAACCATGGTTTTCAACAGGTTTGATCACCAAATTAAACCAAAATATATCAACAGCTTATGAATTAGACCAAATGCCTGGGTGTCAAGTGTGTCAATGATCCGGGGGGAGAAAGCAGGGGATTTCAATTCTCAACAATCTTCATTGGCATGAAAACCCTTGTTTTTAACAATTTTGATCACCAAAATACATCAACAACTTATAAATTGAATGTGTGGTTCATTTTAATAGACTTAAGGTGTTAACGTCTCAAGAGAATCGTATATTTGTTTGCTTTTTCATCCATGTTGAATGATCTGACTTCAGAATATCCAGTTGAATTTGAAATCGTTTTTGTTACCATTTTTTTAATTTCAGAATAAAAACCAGCGGCAAAAAACGACGTTTCGATCTCTCTGAGATCATTTTCAAGTTGAAGAAAAAACGAATGAAATATACATATATAAGTACAAATTAGGGCGTGAGAATGTCAAACAATAAAATATGTAAATGCAAACACTAAAATGTAAGTGTTAAAATAATAAAATACTATAAAGAAAACCTATACAAATAACTTTGCATGGATTGAATCTGACTGTTTGTTCAAGGTTGGCTTAAGCTCCTTTATAAAGAGCATTTTGCAGATCAGGCAGTCAAATTTACTTTGGCACTTTCTCAAGATCTTAAAATCATGATATATGTCACTTGGGACTGTTCCATGCTGCTCTTTGATGTGATTCCCAATTAAAGACAATCCTTTGTGTTCCTCAACGCGTTGATAGAGGTGTTGGCACGTGTACCCGACATAGTTTGCATCACACAAACCACATATCATCATCCACATAGCATTTGTAGAACTCGGGTAACTTGCGGTGCAGTATCGAAGATCGACTTCAGGACCAAGGCAAGTTACCTGAGTTCTACAAATGCTATGTGGATGACACATTGAGCATAATGCCTGACACCGAAACAGCTGAAGCATTCCTTTCCTCTTAAATGAGAGCCATCCATCTGTCAGCTTCACCATGGAACTTGGCAAACACGGTAAACTTCCTTTCCTGGGAACAGACATCAGGAAATGCAATGGTCGCCCGGAGACAAGGGTGTACAGAAAACCAACTGACACCAGATTATTACTACATAACAAGAGCCACGTCCACGTTAGATACAAGAAGTCATTGCTAAAAACAATGCTGGATCATGCCCTTAAACTATCATCTACCTGGCAACTGTTCCCCCTGGAATGTGATCGTCTCACACAGACGTTCTCGTGACTTCAGTACCCAACGCAATTGATACAATCAACCATCAGTAATTTTGTCACCAAGAAAGTTTCTGGCGATCCAATTTCCACTCGAGCACGTAACGTGAATGAAACGCCTGTCAGATTGGTGTTACTATTCAAGGATCAGAGATCGGCCAATTCCGTGCAAAGACAACTTGGGGAACAAGGCCGAAAACTTGGAATTGATATTCGTCCTGTGTATACAAGCCGCAAGATCGGACACGAGATCAAACCAAAAGAAAAGAAGCCGCCTATCATTAACCAGCAATGCGTTGTTTACTACTACAAGCGTGGTTTGTGTGATGCAAACTATGTCGGGTACACGTGCCAACACCTCTATCAACGCGTTGAGGAACACAA